GACTGCGTGACTTTTAGGCCTTGGCAGGCACTTTCTTTTTAGCCTGTCTTTTAATTTTGTGTTGAAAGTTAGAGATGGTAGATCTGGTAATAGGAACTGAGGTTAACAGGCCTGTTAGTGTGAGCTTTTATGATGACCTGGCAAGGAATTGGGTTGTGCTTGTATCTGTCGCTGTCTGAGGCTGAAAATCCCCCTACTCTTCCTTGTTTTTGTCTCCTCTGCTACCTTTGGTTTCCCTACACACTTCCCTTAAAAAAGGACCTTGAAGCTCTTTGAGCCTTAATTCACGGGTATCACCCTGCAGCCTGGTGGCTGGGGTGGTAAAGTATTCGAGAAGGGAAGTGTTCCATAATCCACGACTAAATCCCAGCTCCTGCCCGGGACTGCACCCCTCACACCTGTTCTTTAGCTCCCCCGCCCCCCACGTCCGACTCCAGGACGCGAAGGAGGCTGGAGTTGGGTGATTACCCTCCAGCCTGGCCAGGTGAGATAAGGCTCTGGTGAAGTCTTTATTGTGGAGAATGCTCTGGGTGTGTTTAAAAATGGTTACTTTTCCCCTCCCTCCGCCTGAGGCACCGGGTGATTTCCCTTGGCTCTTCCCTATAAAAACCTGGTGGGGTTACTGGAGGTAAAGCCCAGAAAAGTGTGAGGGTTCCTTAGGATTTCAGCCCCAGGAGTCTCTGACAGTAGTCCTCACTAGTCCTCCAACAGTTTGTCAAAATTGCCAGTTCTGTGTCCTCACTAGTTTGTGGCTCCAGCGGCTTCTGCTCCAGGTAAGCCGACCTCAGCTGTGTGCCTTTGTGCTTACCTCTCTAAAATGTGGGTGGCCCTTTGCCCCAAGACCTCAGTTCTCTGATGGCTCCAAGAAAAGTCATTGGTTTTCAGTGTGTTCAGCTTTTTTCTTTTTTTCTTTTTTTGGTTTTTGTTTTTTGTTTTGTTTTCAAATTTTAGGTTTTGGTTTTGCTTTGTTTTCAGCTTTTTTCTTGGCGTTGGAACATGGATGATGACTACCAAGCTTTTCAGATGTTGAGGCTGGACCTAGAAACCTTTCATACACTTTCTTTTTTTTTTTTTTCATACACTTTCTTTTAAAACCTACGTGTGGTAAAGTGCATTGTTTCTCAAAAGAAAGTAATTATATTGGTCCCTCCATCTCACTGAGGGTTGATATATTATTTTATTACAATTTTATGTTAAAACAAACATAAATTTAGATCTAAATTCTATGGAATTTAGGAATTTAGATCCGTAGTTCCTAACCAACTTTGAAATACATTTGTAAGTCAAATTAAAACTCCTACAAGAGGAGCGCCTGTGTGGCTCAGATCACGATCCCAGAGTCCTGGGATCGAGCCCCGCATCGGGCTCCGCGGGAAGCCTGCTTCTCCCTCTTCCACTCTCCCTGCTTGTGTTCCCTCTTTCGCTGTGTCTCTCTCTGTCAAATAAATAAATAAAATCTTAAAAAAAAAAATCCTACAAGAATACTAAAACTTTAATCAACAATGTCACTTTAAGATTGTGTGGTTGAACCAAACATTTTTTAAGATTTTATTTTTATTTATTTGAGAGAATGAGAGAGAGCACACAAGCCGGGGTGGGGGGCAGAGGGGCAGAGGGAGAAGCAGACCCGGCTGAGCAGGGAACCGGATGTGGGGCTCCATCCCAGGACCCTGAGATCATGACCCTAGCCGAAGGCAGACGCTTAATGAACTGAGACATCCAGGCATCCCAAACCAAAACATTTTTATTAGATTTCATAAAAAGAAGGTACTGCTCCGTTCTGATACTTAGTCTCTTTTAACTTCAATGAATACTTCAGTAGGAAACTTCTGTTTATATAAAATGTTACTGATAACATTAAGGCTTTTCTTTTTTTCTGTTTATAATCATCAAACAAAGGTCTGCTAGAATGCAGTTTTTCTGTCTTTTTTTTTAAAGATTTTATTTACTTGAGAGAGTGAGCGAGATAGCGAGAGAACATGAGTGGGGAGTGGGGAGAGGGAGAAGGAGGCTCCCTGCTGAGCAAGGAGCCCAATGTGGGGCTCAATCCCAGGACCCTGGGATCATGATCGGAGCCAAAGGCAGCCGCTTAACCGACTGAGCCACCCAGGTGCCCTAGAATGCAATTTTTTAATATCAGTTTTGATGAAGTAGATTTTGGTAGTTCTTAAATGCATTATATTCACATGGAGAGATGCGTCCATTGCAACATTATGAAAACTTGTATTTAAATCACAACTTTGGGTTCAGAATATAATTTGCAAATTTATCACATAAATATAAGGTATAGCTTACCTTATAACTAATGACCTGTTGCAATTTTAGATATATAAAAATGTCTCTTAATGAGTGTAAAATATATATATATTTTTAGTTCAGCATGCATACCTCTACCACAGTGAGCCTCATGAAACTGAAGTCAATTTTTTCCAGCCCATTTTTCTATTTAATTGTAAAACTTTATTTGCACATTGGCATAATGTTATATAGCCTTCACGCTAGACACATACGTTCATAATCAACCTAAATGAAGCCATTGGAATCCCAGGACAGTAACTGATAGTAAAGCCACTATGTAGATGGTCTGGTATGTACCCATATTTGTGGTTTGTTTTCCAAGACCCCTGAGAATACATACACTGATCTCAGACAAAAAAAAATGTGTCTTTCACCTACTTTTGAAATCAGACTTAACTGGGTTTGAGTACCAGCTCTGATGACTCATAGTTCTATGATCTTGACCAGTTTACTTAATACCTCTAAGGCTCAATTTCTTTTTTTTTTTTTAAAGCTTTTATTTAGTTATTTGAGAGAGAGGGAGAGAGAGAGGATGAGAGAGGGAGAGCAGGAGAGGAGGGAGGGTCAGAGGGAGAAGCAGACTCCCCCCACACGCCAGGAGGGAGCCCGACGTGGGACTCGATCCCGGGACTCCAGGATCACGACCTGAGCTGAAGGCAGTCCCTTAACCAACTGAGCCACCCAGGCGTCCCTCTAAGGCTCAATTTCTTAATTGGGGAAATGACCTAACAAAGTTGCTGTGAAATCAAATGGAATGATGAATGTAAAGCCCCAACTCCTTGACATTCCTTGTGTTCTTTCGATTAATCATCAGCTTGACTTGAACGTTTTCCACCTAGTTCTCTGGTAGGGCATCTTCCATATAGTAAGACCTAATAGCTAATATTGTTATGTAGTATAATATTAATATATACATATATATAGTTGACTCTTGAACAACATGGGGGTTAGGGACACTGACTTTCCACCCCCTCCAACACACCTGAAGATAATCATCTAAGTTTTGACTCCCCCAACATTTAACTACTAATAGCTTACTATTGACTGGAAGCCTTAACAATATTGTAAACAGTGGATTAACACGTGTTTTGTATGTTTTGTGTATTATATACCATATTCTTGCAATAAAGTATGCTAGAACAAAGAAAATATTATTAAAATCATAAGGAAGAAAAATACATTTATGGTACTATACTGTATTTATTGAAAAAATATCCATGCATGAGGAGACCCGTTTTGTTCAAACCCATTTTGCTTAAGGGTCATCTGTAATGTGTGTGTGTGTGTGTGTGTGTGTGTGTATACACAAATACACGGAGATAGTGTGGCTGAGGATTGTGGAAGTAATCAAATAGAGAAGTGATTCACATTGTGGAAGTAAAAATACATACATGCAATATTACAGAGACATCCTAGAAATATAGTCCACTTGGATAGAAATAAATCTCATTAGGAGAAGATTTTGGAAAGTTAATGTCTTAGCTTGTTATCCCAGAGTCTGACTTTTCTAATCACACAGTGTTGACAGAGGCACATAAATTTAACAATATACGAAGGGGTTCTTAAACTGCCGATTTTTTAAGATGCCAAAAGGACCATATTCTATAATATGATGTATTTACAAATGATTATAAAGGAAATAGAGTTCTGATGTCATCTCCAGTTCCTCTTCACTAAGAATTTGGCAATAAATTTAAACTAATGTGGTTAAGGAGTAGCCTAACAGCCTTCACGCTGAGTCAGTTTGCACCCATGTCTGTGATCCTAACTTCTTGTCGAGAGCTGCCTGGCTCAGCGGCTCTGCTGCTTGCTTGAACGTCCCTGGTAGTATTACTGTTAGCCTTTAAGAATGGCTGAATGATACTGGTAATTACTGTCTCCCAGACACTGTGTGCATTGTTCCTGCACCCGCAGTCTTTCTACCAGGCTAGTGTCTTCTGAGATAGTGTTCTGTGGTGGCCGTGGGCATCATGGCAACACTGTTTTGGCAGTCTCTTTATAGGAAGTATGATCCTTCCCTGTTTGGAAAACCAAGACGTTTCTACGAAACATCAACAGTCTCCCCCAGAAGAATTAGATCTAAATTAGTTCATTAATGTATGTTTTTTTTGTGTGTCTCAACTGGAATTTGAATGTGATTAAATGAGATGCAAAGTGTAAATTCTGACAGGGTGGTAGAAGGTGAAGGAACTTTTTTCCTCGAACCCCATGCCTGAGACCTCTTTCCTTCACTACACTCCTGGGGAGATCAACAAATTGTTAAGTGCTCAAAAGAGATCTATAAATAACGTTAACATCAGTCTAGATAGAGCTGAGAAGTGAGCATTATCGGATTATTACTTTTACTTAGTAGGTTTCCATATCTTTCCCTCATGTGTGTTGTGTTTGAAGCTAGAGATGAGTGGGATTGAGTCTTCTCTCAATGTAGAATATGAAAGAGAAGGTAATTAGGATTAATAGAAGATAAAGAGATAATAATAATAGAAAATGAGGATGTTATAGAAGGCATCCAGATTTTACAAAAAGGGAAAAATTAATCCGATGCACATCATGGACCCTGTTACAATAACCCTTTGTTTCTTTTTCATTTTACTTCTCTTTTCTTTTGTAATGTCCTAAATAGGAAGAGGAACGAGTTATCTTACAAATGTAGATTTCGCAAACTTGTGCACTGATGAGAGTACTATTAAAATGCATTGTTAAGAAAAATTTTCAGCACACAAATGTGTCATTTCCTTTCTTCATGGACCAGATGCTGAAATACTATGTGATAAAGATTTTAGGTCTCAACTGTAAAGAGAGAGAAGTGGATAAATCAGTGCTGCTGTCTTTAGGACAAACGGTAAAAGAAGTTTATTTAAATGTTTTTCCAGAATTGCTTCTATTGATTATATGTGTCTGCTCTGTGTCTGTGTGTGTTTGTGTGTTTGTGTGATAGGTGAGATGTATAAACATGTATGTATATATGTTTATACATATATGTTTCTATATATATAATCGATAATTTTTGGTAGAATTTCTTATCCTATCACTAATAATTTGGTCTGGTTGTTTCAATGATAAAAAAATAGACATTTCTGCTAGGTTTTCTGTGAATGAAAAAAATGTATGTGTGTGCATAAATATATATGGAATATACTAAATACTTTGTAGGTTAAACTAGAAAGAAATTTTGGGCATTTAACTGTCCATATTTTTAAAAGAATTATTGACCTTATTCAAAATATGATTGAGGGTATTTTAATTAGTCTCATTTCCTTACTTGTCATATAATACCTATTACTACCTGTATTTGCTTATATAACAAATATTGCTTGGATATTTACTCTAAGAACTTGGCTGAACTAGACATAGGGAAGGGATCAGAAAAATAGAATATGGTCTATCTGCAGGAAGTTCATGATCTAAGGCAAATAGGCATAATATAATTTAAGCACCTTAACTAGTTGTAAGAGTGCTATAGATAACTACTCTGGGAATGTAGGAGAGGCCAGAATTACTTAGGGGCAAAGGGTTTGAGAAGGTCTTCATGGAGATGTTTAAATTTAGGTTCATCTTGAAGAATGGGTGAGATTTACACAGCATAAAATGGGGGTTAGCATTCTCATTAGCCATGTGAGAATAGTAATAGAAAAGTCACAGAACTGTGATTGTAAATGTTTTATGCAGTATTTAGAAGCTAATATTCTGCAAGTACAGTGCCTATATTTAGATCCAAGCCTCCCTACTTCCTAGTTGTGTAACATTAACTAGTTATTTAAACATTATGGGTCTTAGTTTCCTAGCCTTGTAAAATGGAGAAAATACTGCTGTATGCCTCATGGAGAGTCTGTGAGGGTAAAAAGAAAAAAGTCCATATAAAAAAAAAAATGGTACTTAAAAATAATTATTTACTGATGGTTACCTGTGTACCGGGCAATTTATAAAAATAATATGTTTTCTTAATAATTCTTAGACCGATCTTATAATCCTATTTTACATATATAAAGGAAGTGCAATCAAATAAATTGAAATATTTGCTAATGGTCACAGAGCTACGAAATGGCATAACCAGTATTCAGACCTAGACTTCCAATTCAGGGATGAATTCACTACCAAGGATGAGCATCAGTGGCATCAGGCACAATATGGATATTTCCATTCTCACCTTAATCCCTTTTATGGATATATTCCTCAAGTATAGAGCTACTGGTTTTACAAATACATTAATTCTATTCTCGTTCATATATATTTTTGACTTTTCATACAAAATCAGAGTTTTTGTTTTTAAATAATAAGAAAGGTTACAGAGTTCTTATTTACCCAAAATCTTAAAGATAAAATTAAGGGTTTGATAATATATCTGAATGGGGAACACCTTAGAAGAAAATAATGTACATTAAATATATATTACATATAAAGACTTTATTCATATCCATATAAAGGAAGTTCCACTGGGGATGTACAAGCAATTGATATGAATAAACAAAAACCTAAGAAGGAAAATAAAATATATAATAATAAAAAATAATTACATGAACTATCTCTCCCACACTAATAGTAAATAAGACAAATAAAAGCCACCTTGAGATATCATTGAACTCCTATCAAAATCTAAATGATTCTAAAATAAATATTATTACTGAATAATGGTTAATTTGGCTTAAAACTGCCATATTCATATATGACTGGAATCTTTGTAAATTTGTATGATCTTTTTAAAGAGTAGTCGGGCAGTAGATACCAGGAAGTTTAAGATAATTTTTCTTTCACCTGGTAGTTCAACATATAGTGAATTATCCTAAAGAAATATTTAAAAGAAAAAAACTAAATTATGAAAATATTGGGAGGCAAGATGGCGGAGGATTGGGGGACTCCATTTCAACTGGTCCCCTGAATTTAGCTTGATATCTACCAAGCCACTCTGAACACCCATGAAATCAGCCTGAGAGATAAGATTATACGTCTGGATCTCTACGGGGGCAGAGGATCATCAGTTGAGAGGTACGAAAGACGGAGGTGTGATTGCTTGGAGAGATGTTGGAGGATAAACAGAATGGGGGGGGACCACCAGAAGCTAGCCTTTGGAAAGTAATACCCCAGTGCAAAAGCGTCCTGTTCCTGGGGACCACCGATAGCTTGGTGAGCAGTGGCCGAGGGTCGGGAAGGGACTGATAACAGGGCTCAAACAGAACACAGGGGCTTAAGGGGCAAACTCTGGGACCAGGTGGCCACAGAGCATCATCAAGATAAAAAGCTTCTGCACAGCAGAAGAAACAGTCAACAAAACAAAAAGGAAACCCACAGAATGGGAGAAGATTTTGCAAATGATACTACAGACAAAGGGCTGATATCCAAGATCTATAAAGAACTTCTCAAACTCAACACCCCAAAAACAAATAATCAAAGTCAATAAATGGGCAGAAGACATGAACAGACACTTTTCCAAAGAAAACATACAAATGGCTAACAGACACATGAAAAAATGTTCATTGTCATTAGCCGTCAGGGAAATTCAAATCAAAACCACATTCAGATAACCACCTTACACCAGTTAGAATGGCAAAAATTGACAAGGCAAGAAACAACAAATGTTGGAGAGGTTGTGGAGAAAGGGGAACCTTCTTACCTGTTGGTGGGAATGCAAGTTGGTACAGCCACTTTGGAAAACTGTGGAGGTGCCTCATAAAATTAAAAATAGAGTTACCCTATGACCCAGCAATTGCACTACTGGGTATTTATCCCAAAGACACAGATGTAGGGAAAAGAAGGGCCATATGCACCCCAATGTTCATAGCAGCAATGTCCACAATAGCCAAACTGTGGAAAGAGCCGAGATGCCCTTCAACAGATGAATGGATAAAGAAGATGTGGTCCATATATACAATGGAATATTACTCAGCCATCAGAAAGGATGAATACCCAACTTTTGCATCAACATGGATGGGACTGGAGGAGATTATGCTAAGTGAAATAAGTCAAGCAGAGAAAGTCAATTATATGGTTTCACTTATTTGTGGAACATAAGGAATAGTATGGGGGACATTAGGAGAAGGAAGGGAAAAATGAAGGAGGGGAAATTGGAGGGGGAGACGAATCATGAGAGACTACGGACTCTGAGAAACAAACTGAGGGTTTTAGAGGGGAGAGGGGTGGGGGGCTGGGTTAGCACGGTGATGGGTATTAAGGAGGTATTGCATGGAGCACTGGGTGTTATATGCAAACAATGAATCATGGAACACTACATCAAAAACTAATGCTATACTGTATGGTGACTAACATAAAATTTAAAAAAAATTAAATTTTGATTAAAAAAAGAAAATATTTATAACATCATCATCTATATTAGTAAAACACTGCCCTCCAAAAGAGAAGGAAAAAATTTCTTAAAAATTACATTATAGGAAAATGACTATATAAGTAGGGTAGATACATTTGATGAATTATTATTTGGCCCATAGGTTTAAATTTGAAGAAAAAGATCATTTGAAGTATAAAAATATTGATATGATTTTAAGAGAAATATATAAGACCAGATGGTATCAACTATGTAACATGGATACATATGTACAAAGACTGAAATTTCATCTGAAAAATGAAGGTGTTTTTTCTTATGTAAAGGTGATGGGATGACAGAATTTTTTTTCTTTTTAATTGAAGTATAGGTACAGTTGACATACAACATTATATTGGTTTCAGGTATACAATATGATGATTTGGTATTTATGTACATTACAGAACGATCACCATGATAAGTCTAGTTACCATCTGTCATCATACAAAATTATTACAGTATTGACTGTATTCCCTATGCTGTACTTTACATCTCTAGTGACTTATTTTATACTGGAAGTTTATACCTCTTAATCCCCTTCACCTATTTTGCCCACCCCCCTGTTCCCTTCCCCTCTGGCAACTATTGGCTTGTTCTCTGTATTTATGAGTCTGTTTCTGTTTTGTTTATTGCTTGTTTATTTGTTTTGTAAAATTGTGGTATTTGTCTTTCTCTGTATGACTTATTTCACTGAGCATAATATCCTCTAGTTCTATTCCATGTTGCCACAAATGGTAATATTTCATTATTTTTTATGGCTGAGTAATATTCCATTATACATTTATATATATATATAATATATAAAAGAAGTACATCTTTATCCATTTATCTATTGATGGACACTTAGGTTGCTTACATATCTCTGCTATTGTAATTACAGTGAACAAAGTGGTGCGTATATCTTTTCGAATTAGTGTTTCCGTTTTCTTCAGATAAACACCCAGAGGTGGAAATGCTGGATCATATGATATTTCTATTTTTAATTTTTTGAGGAACCTCCATACAGCTTTCCATGGTGCTTGAACCAATTTACACTCCCACCAACAGTGCACAGTGTTCCCTTTACTCCACATCCTTGCCAGCACTTGTTATTTCTTTTCTTGTCTTTTTATTACTAGTCGTCCTAACAAGTATGAGGTGATATCTCAGTATGGTTTTGATTTGCATTTTCCTAATAATTAGTGATGTTGAGATTGTTTTCATGTGTCCATTGCTCATCTGAATGTCTTCTTTTGGAAAATGTTTATTCAGTTCCCCTGCCCCCCCCCCCGCTTTTTTTTTAAACCAATTGTTCTTGTTTTTGTGTGGTGGGTTTTTTTTTTTTTTTTGGTGTTGAGTTGTATGAGTTCTTTTTATACTTTGAATATTAATGCCCTATCAGCTAATATGATTTGCAAATATCTTCTCCCATCTGACCCAACTTATCTTTCATATTGTTACAATATTTTTATAATAAAAGCAGGAAAAACTGAAGGGTATGTTTCCAAACAGGTTAACATTGAAACACTTTCATTATGGTTTTTCTGTTG